ACCTCTTTTCTAAGCTGAGAAGTCCCAGTCTCTTTAGCCTCTCTTCATATGGGACCTATTCCAAACCTCTGATCATTTTAGTTGTCCTCCCCTCTCCCACCTCCTTTTCCCAGTCTCCCCCAGTTTTGTTCAATAAAGAGAGAATCTATTTTTGACCACACGTTTTCTTTATTTTGTACATCAGGAAGGGGGTCTAGGGTGGGGTAAGTGGAAGGAGGTGAGGGAGGAATGGGGTACGAGCCCCCAATGGGGAGGACTGGGCTGGTTGCGGGCTTCTGGGGGTGGAAGCTCTCCTGCAGCCCCCCAATTGCCGCCTCTCCCCAGATGGCGGCCTGCGGCAAGTGCAGCCAGTCTGATGGCCGAGTGCTGTGATGTGCCCAGTGTGGGTAGTCCGGGCAATCCAAGCCAGGACTGCTTTGCAAGTGGGGCACCCCTGAGAACTGTCTGTCCGGGGTGGAGGTCGGGTCTCTTTAAGCACAGCCCTCGGCTAGCCTGAGACAGCAGCTCCACGCTCTAAGTCCTACTCTGCTGCCCTGCTGGCACTGCTTCCGGCCATCCTTAACCCTGGTTCAGGGTCCACTTAATGTGGACATGTTAGTTCGAATTAGCAAAAAGCTAATTCGAACTAGTTTTTTAGTCTGGATGCGTTAGTTCGAATTAGCACTGTAGTGTAGACATACCCTCTGGCTCTTCAGCACTTAGCCCCATGCGGGGTTAGTAATTTATCACCACATGGCTCTTCCCATTCATCTCCTTTCTCTCCCCCTTGCTAGTTAAGCTCTGCTGAATTAAGACATACTGTTAAGTTGAGGCAAAGTATAAGGCAGAATTTATCTCAAGACAACCATTTTGATGCATTTAAAAATTGTGTGTCATACCCTATGAGATTGTCTTACATAAATGTGAGATTTTAAACATAATGTGATGGTTTTCATTCAGTTTTTGTTTTTTTGACATTTTGGGGCTCATAATATCAAGCGTTTGTCTATGAACATGAGTGCTAGAATTATATTTTTTAAATGAAAGATGAGATTCTTACACAATAACATGACTACAGGAGCTGGGACTTTAAACACAATCCAAGGTAATGTGTTTGTGAGACTTGGCATAAAATCATGAGAGTTAGCAACACTAAAGTTATGCATCCTTTTTAAAAGGACCAAACTTGAGAGGCGTCATAGGCACAAAGGCCAGGTAGACTCCCAACTTCCACTGAAAGTGAATGGGTACTAGCCCCCATTTATGCCTTTGAAATTCCCCCCCACTGAAAGTGAATCGGTATTAGCCCCCATTTATGCCTTTGAAATTCCCCCCTCCCTCCCCGTTTCTCTAACTAAGATTACCTGGCTTACATCTCCTACCATCTTTCAATGATGGAATATGGTGCCTTGTCTTGTAATTATTTGTAGGTACTTTGCATATACTTTGTGGGAATTATTATTAAATTATTATTAAATTTTTTGTTCCTCCTAAGTCTACTTTATGCTATGCTGGTGGCACAAAGTATAGACTTCCAGCTACTGCAAGGCAGCACCTAAAGATTTCCCTAGGCAGGGGAATCATCAGCTGGGTATGTCCCACAGCTACTCTGTCTTTCCACCCCTGCCAGGGCCTAGAGAGTATTGTGGGATAGGGTCAGGGGCGGACTGGTCCAAGGGGATACCAGGAATTTCCCGGTGGGCTGTCCTCTGAAGGACCGGCTGAAGGGCCGGCTGGTGGCTGCTGGATGAGGAGGGGGATTATGACTCCTAGAGAGTATTGTGGGATAGGGTCAGGGGCGGACTGGTCCAAGGGGATACCAGGAATTTCCCGGTGGGCTGTCCTCTGAAGGACCGGCTGAAGGGCCGGCTGGTGGCTGCTGGATGAGGAGGGGGATTATGACTGGGCACCGCAGCCCCACACTTTAAATTCCCCAGTGCTGGCCATGTACGGGGCATGGTGGGGCTGAGGGAGAGCATGCTCAAATGCCGTGCAACAGCTGAGAGGGGAGATGCTTGGGTGTGGCATGACATCACGGCCCAGGACTTTAAAACCTCCTGGCCCAGAGTTGCACTTCGTGACCGAGTTCCAGGCCCGTCCAGTGGTCTGGAGCCCGGGAAGCAGCTGGGGCCAGGGCTGCGGGGATTTTTGGGGCCCAATCACCGACTCCAGCACTGCAAACTGGAAGGCAGAAGGTGGGGGTGGGGTGGGGAAGGGGGAAAATAGGGGGAAAGCATGGTAGAGGAAGGGGCTTGTGCTGAGGGGAGGAGGGCAGGTCAGGAGAAAAAAGGGGAAGGTACCAAGGGACAGGGTGGAGGAGAGACAAATGCCAGGGGGCCAAGTGGAGACAATAAGGAAAAGGGCAGGAGGAGAGGTGTCAGTGGGGGGGGGGACAGGGTTATGCTGGGAGAGGAGAGGGGAAGGGCATTGGGAGCTAGAGGGGGAAAGGGGAGGTGCTGGGAGAAGGCTTGAAAGAAGGGGTGGGCATGGGGAAGGCGGGAATGGAGCAAGTCATGTGTGAGGGCACAGTGGCATGAGGGGAATGGGGGCAGAGGGTGGTGAGGGGGTGGGCATCAGGGAAAAAGAGGGCAAAGGGGGCAGGGGCAGTGAGGGAAGGGGGAGGCACCAGGAGGGTGCATGGCTAAGGGAAGGTGCAGGTGCCAGGAGATTCTGGGGGTGAATCAGAAGGGCAGACACCTGCAGGGGAGGGACCAGCACCAGAGGCGAGAGGCAGGGCAGGTGTGTAGAGGGAGGTGTTAGGAGAGGGGATGAGGAGGGGTAGCTCACATGATCAGAGTGGGGCTACTGGAGGAGTGGGCACAGGGCGGAGAGAAGGGCTGGTGGAGGGGGGCAGGTCACAGGAGGGCTGAGGGCAGTGAGAAGGGCAGGAGTCAGGACAGCACAGGAGGGTGAGGGGTGTCAGGGCAGCAGGCACCAGGGGAGCTGATAGAATAAGAGGAGGAGACATGGCAGCAGAGAAAAGGTAAAGGTTTATAAGATATTTATTAATAACTTGGGTTCCATAGTGGCACATCCAAACAAGCCACATGAACTCAGTACTAGTGCACAACACAAAATTCATTCTGCTCATGGGAGGAAATTCTTAGAGGGAACACTTCCCCCAGCCTCTCTGCCCCTGAGTTAATGTCACACACATTGGGTTAATGCAATTGCAGGATAGTTGCATGAGGGGGGTTTGGTGGGAGCCAAACTAATCCCTATTGGTAGGAGGATGGTGGGAAAAGTCCTTAGAGAGGGGTCACATGACACCTTTTATTTCTGGTCATGTGTCCATCTTGCCCCAAGAGTGTTACCTCTAGAGGCCTGGCTAATGGGAGTCAAGTGGTGTGGCTAATGGGGGTCAGGGGCGTGGTTAATGGGGATCAAAGAGTAAATTTTAAAAAATTTGTTTGATGTGAAAAAGTGGGCTGTTCTCAACCCATTTCCTGGGCCTAGTTTGATTGCCAGTCCGCCAGTGGATGGGAGAGACACGTTAGGGAAAGTGATCTAGAGCAGAGCCTGAGTCTGATGCACTCCAGCTATCCCAGTTGATGGATGGAATGGCTTGTTAGGAACTATTATCTGTCAGAACAACTTAGAACAGTGGTGGGAATGTGGCAGAACCCTATCTGAACTACATGTTGCTCCTATGGACTCCGGCCTATTTCTTGGTTGGGCTTCATATATTGCCTTCCAAAACAGATGTACAAGTCAAGTCAGAATACAAAAAGCCAAAAGGGTTAAATATTACATTTGAATGTTCTCAGTTTAATTACTGTTGGAAGCAAGAAAAGATTACAGATGTTTCCAAATGTTAAAGCCATACAATTAATTCTTGTGATGGTAGCAGTGACAACATCCAGAAAAGCTATCACTGCCTGAGGCTCTTTGTGATGTTGGCACCAGAGCACAGGCATGGGAGACAAAACAAAAAAACACTTATATTTCTTCTCAAAGCAAGAGGAGAAAAGTCCAGTTCCATTCCCCAGAGAAAGAACTACCGGCAAAGGAAGCTTTTAGTGCAGCTGCCAGTTACACCAGGACATGAAAGCTTTGAGCAAGGATCAAAAGATCATACAAAAAAGAGATGTATGTGAAACACAGTTCTATAGTACACTAAGCTGGAACACTGAAACTGGGTCACTGGAGAACACAAACAAAAATGAATATGGTCATTTTATTTACCAAAAATGCTTATTTAATAACAGAAGAGAAAAGGAAGTAGATATGCCTTGTATGAAAGAAAATCCTTTCTGTGCCTAATAAGTTCCTAGCCCTTTACAATTCTTCCTGTAAGGGATTTATGGTCTTATAGGGTGAATTCCGTTGACTTAAAAGCAAGGTACTGCATAAAAATCATTTCCTTCCTTCAAGAGAGGATAAACTTTAAAGACCAGGACAGTATACTGGAGAGAATATAGTTGTTGAACAGCTGCATCCTTTTGGAAGGATTACCTTCTGAATTCAACAGACATCCCCATGAACAGTGGTTATATATGGAACATATGCTAGGAGTTGACGGGCAGTTGACAGTTTTCAAATCTGCTCCAACATTTACATACATACCAGTTCTTTTATACTTGAGCCTCTCCTGTCACTTTGTATGTATATACCAGCTGACTACTTCACTGAATGTCAAGTAACTATTTTAAGGGGTGCAACTTGGTGCAAATTACACAACAGATGTGTATTTCCCATGTCAATTTTATTCTTACTTGATGCATATAAATCATAAATAATTTCAGAATGACACATTGCTGTGAAATAGGTATTAATATGAAGGATAAATAAAATGTATCCAATAAATAATTCAAAATAAACATGTTAAAGCATTCAGTAAGGTCCCATGATTTAATCTGATCCATGCAGGTAGGTTCATGTACCTGTTTAAAGTCCCACAGATTTCAAAAAGATTCTGCCCAGGTACAAGAGTCTGGCTGGGCAGATCAAACAACAACATACTGTGTTTGTTTTAGGGCTACATCCTCCACTGAATTTGAGGGACAAGGAAAGAAACTTACCTGTTCAAGTCTCGATGTATGATTGGCTGTGTCAGATTATGAAGATACTCCATACCTTTGGCAACATCTACAGCAATGATTAATTTAGACTGTAAGTCAAGATTCCTAGATTTAAAACATATAGTACTAGTCAAAATGGAGAGATAAAAGACAAATTTACTTGCAATGTTCTGAAGAGATCATTATACTCTGACGGTTTGAGTCATCGGCAAATAAGAACTGCCTTCTTAGTTGGCATATTGTAATTTGCACACAAAATCTTGCCAAGTAAAACAGTAGTAAACTAGTTAATAGTTTTGTGGTTAGTTGCTAGTTTACTTCATATACCAAATAGTCTTATCATTAAAGCAATTATTTGGTACATTCTTCTAAATGAAATAGATATTAAATATTTGCACCAGTGAAATTATTTATAATAGGGTCATACAAAGATTTAATTGAATACCTCTTCTGTTCATGCAGCAGAGAAAAGAGTGATCCTCCAGAAATATATTGAGTGACTATAGCAAACTGACTTGGATCATCTAAGCATGCACCAACAAACTGGATGACGCAAGGATGATTAAGTCGGCAGAGGATAGAAACTTCACGGCAAAACATGTCCACATCAGATTTGGAACAGTAGGTATTGGCTCTGTAGCTAATAATTGATATGAAGAGAAATCACAAGTAAATGAAAAATAGCATGAAAATTATGTGGTATGATTTTTTTTGTACTCTAAATTTGGGTATTAACTCAGCAAAATGGAAAAGTCTTTGCAAACTTACCGTTTGATTGCTACTATTTTATTTCTGCATTTTCCCTTATACACTTTTCCAAAAGACCCTAAAATGATTAAAAATAAATAAGCACAAAGATATTTTCTGTGTGCATCAAACTTTTAAGAGGGATGCTTTCTGGTACCTGAGCCAATAATCTCATGGAACTCTATTTCAGAGAGCTGAAGATGGAAATGTGATGGCAAACCAGCACGGAGGAGGAGAACATCTGCCTTTTCTGTAAAAGAAAATTGTTATCCTTGTATGCAAAATGTTGGAGGTGTGTGTGTGGTGGGGGTGAGGGGGGAATAAAAGCACTTAAATTGACAAGAACATTACACAGTAGCAGCTGATTTTCCTACCATAAATTGGTTGACTGGTAATCCTATTTCTTTTTGTTTCAGTACCCATGATAAACCCCAATAATAAACAAGGGATTTGCAACATTACAGACGCCTCAGGGTTTCTTGGCTCTGAAGTCTTATCACTGATGAACACTGTCCCATAAGCATATTCTGTTTGGATCATGTGATTGTGGCATAAAATCCTTTATGTAAGGAATTAGTTCCTTATTCGGGTTTCTAGCACTCTACCAATGCTGTGTTTCTTATTTGTGATCTGATCCTACTGTTCAATGGCATTTGAAATCTAAACTCTAATGTTCAACTGAATTCACATGCGAAACATCCCTAAACTGTTAATCCATATGGTCTACCACAAGGTGCTTATAAGAATTTTTCTAGATAGAACATTTTAATGTGCATGCTGATTACATGTAAACAATATAAGCCCTTGAGTACACCCAGAGCTAACATTTGAAATGGAAAATCAAAGGCATCTCAAAATGTGAAATACCTTTAAAGATAAATTCTGAATTCTTTGGCTACATCTGCATCAATACAAAACCATTTATTTTTGGATAGCATCTTTCTTACAAAAGTATCTCCAAAGATTTCCCAGCAGATTTCAATCTATTGTTTCTTAGCTCTGCATTTATATATTTATGTTTATTTCTCTAGTATCAGTTCACTGTCACAAATTTTTCTCAAAAAAAACCCCACTGGTTTGAACCTGAAAAACAGTTAATTTCTCTGGAAATTTTAAAGTTGACAGAAAAGGAAAAGAGAGAGGTAATATCTTTTATTGGTCCCACTTCTTCACCTTTGCGTAAGCTCAGAAATGTGTCTCTTTCACCAATCAAAGTTGGTCCAATAAAATATATTATCTCACCTATCTTGCCTCCCTAATATTCTGGAACCAAAACAGCTACAACAATGCTGCATATAAAAAAAATTAAGACTTCAGTAGTATGGTTTTGTTCCTGCTAGGTACTGAACACCTCTGTCTCCACTCAAGTCAATAAATCAGGGTAAGTAAATTGCTTTCCAAAATATTCCCATAGGAATACAGCTCCCGTTTTAGACATATTTTCTTTACATTTCTAAATAAAAAAATCAGGTAAAAGTGATCATGTGTAGTATATGCAGGATGATAAACACCTTTAGCAACAGAATATAACACTTGTTTTTTTCCTCCTGCCATTAAAATACCTTTTGTCATGCTTTTAATCTTCCCTAGAGGGGATGGAACAGAGACGTAGGAACCATCTGAAATCAAAGAAGAAAATGAAGTTTATGAACTATTCTGAGGACAGTAGAAATGCCTTTGCTGATAAAAGAAGTGAGGCATTTTTTACTTAAAGAGTAGAGAAAATGTGAGCAAAAATATCATTTAAAAAATCTGATGGGACTATGAGCTCATGTTTTTAAACACATGAGCTCTCAATGCTAGGCAAGATGCTCAGTATAGGTTGGATCTCCCTGACGCTGCACCCTCAGGACCTGATGGGTCCCGGACAAAGGAGTTTGCTGGAACATGGGAGGCATGGAAGCTGGGGCACCAGCATCCCTGCTGGGCTCCTCTCTTCAGCTACCTGGCACTACTGCTCCTGGCCCTGAGCTTGCCAGCAGCCCTGCTGGACCTGTAAGCTCTGGTGGCCACATTGGATGTGGGCTCTGTAACTCCCCCACCTCATGGGCTCCAGAGGCACCACTGGCTGTGGCTCACCAACCCCATAGGCCCCGCCAGCCCCACTGCCCTTCTAGCCAGCTCTGTTCTCAGCTGTGGGCAACCTCTGTGCTCTGGCTAGTTACTGATGTTGCCAGACCAGAGTTCAGGACCACAGAGGTTCAAGGGGTATTGACATAGCTCCATTGTTGACCATATTTGCAAGTGATCAGCTTCAATGCCTGGAGACAGATTCACAAAACACTCACCACCCAAACAATGACTCTTGTGACACTTATTAGACAGATACTCGAGAAGGCTCAGTGCTCACCATGCACTGAGAATCTGACCTCTTGTTTAGATGCCTAAGGCTGTGTCTAGACTACATGCCTCTGTCATCAGAGGCATGTAGATTAGACACATAGGCAAAGTCAAATGAAGCCGCGATTTAAATGATCGCGGCTTCATTTAAATTTACATGGCTGCCGCGCTGAGCCGACAAACAGCTGATCAGCTGTTTGTCCGCTCAGCGTGCTAGTTTACCGGGGCTGCCGACAAAGGGGATGTCGACAGGGGAGCGTCCAGACTAGCGCGCTAAGCGGACAAACAGCAGATCAGCTGTTTGTTGGCTCAGCGCGGCAGCCATGTAAATTTAAATGAAGCCGCGATCATTTAAATCGCGGCTTCATTTGACTTTGCCAAAACAACAAATCTACATGGCTCCGTCGACAGAGCCATGTAGTTTAGACGTACCCTAAATGGGGACTGAACTCTGTTTTAAAATTTGGACTTAAATGCAGATGCTGCACTGTTAAAAATGTGACCCACACCATACAGTATACATGAAGGTATCAAGAGAGTGAACTGAAAAAATCTGAGATTTAGCTGTTCCGAGCAGATTTTATTTCCGTGTCTGTATGTGTTAGGAGCTTGTTGGAGTTAAAATTCAAGGATTTGTGCAAACTCAGCCCTCCAGAGATACACACGCTCCAGAAATACAGTATATCTAACCTGAAGCACACCCAGTTAGACAATCTCTGCTTTCTGTAGGCTTTTCAACATTAGTCCTATGGATATCAGTAGGATTTTTTCCATTCACTCACTGTGAGCAAATTGTGCCCAAGGTGAGCTAAGAAATCTAAGCAAGAATGCTTCATGTCTCATTTTCTTTGTAGATATTTTCTTAACACAATATAAAACTTTTGTGAGCCAAGATTAACAAATTTACTTCTTGCCATTTGTCATTTAGTCAGCAATAGAGATATTTTTGTAACAAAAAGAGTAATTAATCCCAGATACAGGGCAATTAGGTAGCTAAAGACATTCAAAAATATGAAGGATTGGACTGAACACAGAAACTTTCTGCATGCCAATAATCAGACATCAAACAAAGACAAAACAAAGAGAATGACTAAACAAGGTATTAAATATGTAGACAGGTATGTGTAATGATTATTAAGGAATTTTTTTTCAAAGCTTAGTTTTTATCTCTAATCAGTAACATAAAGTGACAATGCTTCTCTATGATAAAGGAGAAGTTTTGGCATAAATCAGAGACACAGTGTACCTGAAAAATGGGGACACTCGAGCCTATAAATTATCTTCACATATAAATTTACTGTACCAGATAATGCCTGATGCAAAGCTCACTGATAGCTGGGGAAAAATTATCACAGATTTTAATGGCCTTTGGATCAGGTCCTTCCGAATATAAAGTGACTAACTTATCAAACTGTACCTCCTCCAGGTTGGGAATATTCATTACAGGGTGAGTCATCCTGTGGTCTTTTATAATGCTTCAGAAGGGTAACAATGGCATCGTGTCCTAAAAAGAGGAATGATGATTTGAACATTAAATATCAATTTATACACAGGTTAGAAGAAGTTTTAAAATAAATAACGCTTCTGGTTATGAAAACATATAAAGAAGGTATTCAGTGGCCATGGTCAGAAATGTGATAGGATTTCTCAGTTAGGTGAACGTGGGGAAAACCTGGCTGAAACCCCCCTTCTGTAATTTTCACTATAGGCTGGCAGGGCAGGGTATGGCTACACTCCAAAAAATAAATAAATTAATAAATAAACAGGAGTAAGTCTGAGAACCTGTGTCAACTGACGGGCTGATGAGGCCAAAAATAGTAGTGTAGATATTCTCATTTTTACATAACCTCACTACTCCAAGAGCTGTGACTTTAAGAAACACATCATGGACCTTTTGATATGCTAGGAAGTCATGAGAGTTTGCAGTACTGAGCAACTGTTTCCATTCTGCATTTTGGCAGAAAAAGTCATATTGGACTAAATCTAGGGCTCAGACTAAGGATGTTAAATAACAATTAATTAACTAGTCAATAGGCACTTCTGCATTCCTCCTTTGAAATGGGCTCTTGTGTATTTCAAAGCTGGCACACTGTGTGCAGCCCGGGGCTAGCGGGAAGTCCTGCTGACTCCGGGCTCCATTAAGGTGCTTCTGCTTTGAAATGCGCAAGAGCCCAGGGGGATTTCAAAACAAAAGCAACTGCGTGAAGCCCGGAGTCAGCGGGACTTCCTGCTGGCGCCGGGCTGTACATGGTGTGCCAGCTTTGAAATGTATGAGTCCCCAACAGAGGCTCTTGTGCATTTCAAAGTGGAAGTGCCCACAGGGAGCCTGAGGTCAGTGGGGGACGCAGAGTTTCCGCTGACACTGGTTCCATGTGGCACTGCTGCTTTGAAATGCCACGTGGAGCTGGCATCAGCTGGAGACTCCTCAGCTGACCCTGGGCTCTGTGCGGCATTTCCCTGGAACCCAGGATCACCTGGGGACTCCTCAGCTGACACCGGGCTCTCCACTCTTTGAAATGCCATGCTGGAGCCTGGGATAGGCTGAGGAGTCTCCAGCTGATCCTGGGTTCTGTGGAAATACCACACGGAGAAGGCTGCTCCACATGTCATGCTGCGGGCCATCTAGTCTGGCTGTGGGCCGCTCCAGCCCAGGCAGGTCTGCTGCACCATGCCATGGGTGGTGGGGAAGGAGTGCTCCAGTCCTGCCAGGCTTGAACAAAATGTTTAACATTCCATTTAACCTGTTAACTTTTTAACCAGGATTTTACACCCTAGTTTTAATGCTTTTGGGGATCTCAGAATCTTCACTCTCTAATTTCTACTTTTCCCAGTCCAATGGAAAATTTTATCATAGATTCTTGCTCCAGGCATCAGCAAGGGATGCTGTTTGCCTCTCACACAGAATAGAGCAGAAACAAGAGAGACATTCAGAATGAGATTGTGATGCAGTGCTCACATACCAAGTACTATCTTGCATTTAAACGGCTCTCTTGGCTCTGTTTGCTTGGAAATGTTTTAATTCCCTGCCAACTCAGTGGTACAATTTGCTGGCATTTTCTTAGGGATATTCTTCATCAACAGCCTAATGAGTGCAAGCATTCTGGCTCCTAATAAACACAAACCTGCCAAAGAAGTGCCAGTAAGCTTGCAAGCACTGAAAGGCTTCCTCACTGGAGTTCTACTGTCCCAAAGATTGCTAAAGCTGCACTGTGTTGAATCCACTAGGCAATGTTTCCATCTCCTTAGATGATCCCTGGGATTTCATTTGGGAACAGACATAACACTCCATTTGTGTAATACTGGCTGATATTTTAATACAGTTGTCAAGGAGACAAAAATTTCTGCTTAGAGCAAATCTTAAGGAGAGCTATTGGCAACTAACTAATCAAGACAATCTACAACCTACTAACTGATTATTTGATGTTACTTATAACCTTAGTTTTTGGATCTCTATGTCTAGTGTAACTGAAAATTCCTATAATTACTATAAGTGATTGAGTGTATGCAGGTTTCAGAGGTAGCTAGCTATGTTAGTCTATTACATAAAAAACAACAAGGAGTCTGGTGGCACATTGAGGACTAACAATTTTATTATGGCATAAGCTTTAATGAGTTGCAACTCACTTCATCAGCTGTATAAAGTGAAAGAAAAAGAAACAGACAGTAGGGATACCGAGATGGGAGTGTTACATGGGAGATTGCACCACTAGCCCTCTGTGGTGCCTTGTATTATACGCAGAGACAGGAGAAGGGGGCACACACATTCTAATGCATGAAGTTCCCAATCCAACAATGGCTGTGCACAACTGGAAACATTTTCAGCAAAAAACAAAGCTTTTGGGTTGAATAGCAAAACAAAAGAAAAGCAGATCCCAAATCTGGCATGTTATTGAGACTATTCTATGGACACAAACACGAAAGTATAGTAGAAACTAGGGATGTTAAACATAAATTAACTAATTGAACAGTCGATAAGATTTCCATTGACTATTTGATTAGTTGATAAGGACTAGCACATGTTCTGCCTTTGAAATGTACAAGAGCCCCAACTGGGGCTCTTGTACATTTCAAAGCGGAAGCGCCCGCATGGAGCCTGGGGCCAGAGGGGACTCTGAATCCCCCACTGACCCCAGGCTCTATGCAGTGTTTCAGTCTTTGATATGCTGAAATGCACAATCTTTGAGATGCATTTCAAAGAGGCAGCGCCACCACTACACTCCTGTCTGTCCCACGGAGATGGAGTTGGGGGGAACCGGCTTTTAAGCTGGCTCCTCCCAGCACTCTCTCTTCTTCCCCCTGTTGCTGCCTCTTTATGATGGAGGCAGCAAGGGGGGAAGCGACTAGCTGACTAATGTGCCGACTATCCAATAAGCTTTTGCTTATCGGATAGTGGACTAGGTGATTAGTCGCTTATATCACTAGCAGGAACCCCTGAAAAGTTCTCTGCTCTGAGGAAATAAAGAATTGCTATATTTTAATGCACGGCTTCTTATCATGCCTCTTCCAGCCATAAAACTCAAACCTTCATCTATAGAAAACAGGCAGAAAATTGCATTTCTGAACAATCTTTCTGAAAAACGGATTTCTTTAATTTTAGCAGGACATTTTTGCAGCTAAGTTTGTGTTGAACCAAAGTGATGTTTAGCAGGCTAGAATATCTGATGAGATAAATTCCAGCCTTGGTTTTCATAACGCTTGATGCCAGGTGCTGGTATACAAATAGTGGGAGCTCCCAATCTACAGATGATACAGGATTATTTTGTACTATTATCTTCTATCTGGGGCGTTCCTACATGTTTGCAGCAGAAAGTGGAGAATTGACATACCTTTCTCATAAGCCCACATCAAACAGGTCTGCTCATCTTTTTCTCCACTAGACCTGCTGGGATCACAGGCTACCAGATTCATATCAGCTCCGTTATCCAGTAAAAACTGTACTAGACGAATATGACCATGGTAGCAAGCACAGTGTAATCCTAGAACATTAGAAAAGAAAGAAAAGTCATTAGGGTAAGCACAAGTGTTAAAGAATAATTGGACTTATAGGAATAGCTATAAAACTGGAACTGTTTTCCTTGATAAAGGCGAATATTATTAGACAAAAGACTGGGCAATGCAGGAACAGAGAATATTATTCTATAAGAGCCAATCTATTGTGTGCTCTATAGTATATGTCAGTACTTATTTTACCACATGCTACAACAAATGTATGCTAGCAACTTGATAGGCATGTAAGAACAAACAGAAAATGGGCTTCCCTGCCCTTTAGTTTGAGCAGGTCTCCTCCCTTTTTCTATGTCTGCACTGATTCCCCATCTATTCAGTGTTCTCCTCTGCACTTTAAAGTACTTCACGGACCATCTGCCTACATCTCTGTCCCTGATCCTTAGCCACCTAAATTTCTCTCAAGACTGATGCTTTCACCTTCTTAGGCCACTGCCCTCTTTGCACCCTCTTCCATGTCACCATGCTTAGTTAGAAAAGCCCCTCAATTAACGTACTGCTCCTCACCACACAGTGCTAACATTTTATGAGAACCTACTTGCTGTATCAAGTGTGCTAGCTATAAAGACCGCATGCTGCTTTGTGTTTGGTCACTGCAATGTATCCGCTTCTGCCTGCAGGGTAGCCTCCCGGCTCACAGGCCATCCCTTGCTGGAGAAGTTATGCAATCTGGCCCAGGAGTTCCAGCAGGATGAGAGGTGCTGCCATTACCATTCCCTAAGCCCTGCCCCCTCCTGTCATCGCTTTGCCCTCTCCCCCCTGTTGCACCCCAGCTCCGTGAGGATGCAGTTTCAGGGAACACTGGGGTGGGAGGGAAGCTGGCACAGGGCGGCAGAAGGGTTGCACCTCCCCTCTCTGCTGCAGTAGGAGCTGTGGGGAAGTGGAGTGCAGCAGCATGAGTGCATCCCCTGAGTATGCTTTGCTTCCCCACAGCTCCTGTTCCTGCCAAGGATGACCCACAGCCTGATAGTTGGAGGCCCTGCTTTAGGGCAAGATACTAACAGATGCTCTCTGCTCTCAGCACCTATTGGCTTCAGTGGGAGTTGAGAATTCTCAGTCCCTTGCAGAACTGGGTAATTAGTCTATAACCCTGGAATTTCCAAAGGAGCGCAAGACTATGAAAATCTTTTTGAAATGTCAAGGGAGACTGAAGACCTAGCTGGCACAGCAGGCACCTTTGAAAATCCCAGCCAACCTTCAGAGCTGGAAACATCCTCTGATTTAGTACATTAAAAGTCTGGTGTTATCTGCATGTCACCTGGGTGTATGCCAATGTAACTCCCTTGAAATCTTTAGGTAACCAAAGTTAATTTGTCTATTTCTGTGGACTGGGGAAGGTTTTTTTTTCTAATGTTCTTATTTATTTGTTGCAGTGCCTGTACCTATGGCAAGAATATTGAACTTGTAAAATTTCTCCTTGACCAGAATGTTTTAAACATCAATCATCAAGGAAGAGATGGGCATACAGGTACAGTCATGAGGGCCGTGACTCACTATGGGTATGTCTACACTACCACCCTAGTTCGAACTAGGGTGGTAGTGTAGACATACCCATAGTGAGTCACGGCCCTCATGACTGTACCTGTATGCCCATCTCTTCCTTGATGATTGATGTTTAAAACATTCTGGTCAAGGAGAAATTTTACAAGTTCAATATTCTTGCCATAGGTACAGGCACTGCAACAAATAAATAAGAACATTAGAAAAAAAAACCTTCCCCAGTCCACAGAAATAGACAAATTAACTTTGGTTACCTAAAGATTTCAAGGGAGTTACATTGGCATACACCCAGGTGACAGAATGGAGAATTTAAATGTGCAAATGCAGGGCTTATCTACTAAAACAAATATGTGCTTTTCTGGTACTTTGGAAATATCCTGAATGTCTCAGTGCCAATATTAAACACAGTTGTGCAGAATTAATTGGATCTGGTCTGTGACTGCTTCTAAAAAATTCTCTGTGGCCAAAAATATTTAGAACAAAATTTTTCACAAATTTTGCTGTGCCACCCCCTAGTTAGATGAAAAGGCTGGAGGCCAAGTGGATTCTGAGTATAAGGTAGTCCAAGCTTAGATTCCCTTTGGTCAGAAAAAGGAAAAGAAGCAATCACAGAATTCATGATTATAAGGAAGGGTAGAAGGGAGAACAGCAAAATAGAGACAATGGATTTCAGGAAGGCAGATTTTAGTAAGCTCAGAGAATTGGTAGGTAAGGTCTCATGGGAAGCAAGACTGAGAGGAAAAACAACTGAAGAGAGCTGGCATTTTTTCAAAGGGACATTATGAAGGGCCCAAACGCAAGCTATTCTGCTGTGTAGGAAAGATAGAAAATATGGCAAAAGATCACCTTGGCTTAACCAGGAGATTTTGCATGATCTAAAAATAAAAAAGGAGTCATATTAAAAAAATGTAAACTAGGACAAATTACAAAGGATGTATATAGGCAAACAATACAGGAATGCAGGGGCAAGATTAGAAAAGTAAAAGCACAAAATGAGCTCAAACTAGCTACAGGCATAAAGGGAAACAAGAAGACATTCTATAAATATATTAGAAGCAAGAGGAAGACCAAGGACAGGGTAGGCCCATTGCTCAGTGAGGAGGAGAAACAGTAACAGGAAACTTGGAAATGGCAGAGATGCTTAATGACTTTTCTGTTTCAGTCTTCACCGAAACAACTGATGAAGGAATGCCTTACATAGTGAATGCTAGTGGGAAGAGGGTAGGCTTGGAAGATAAAATAAAATAAAGAACAAGTTAAAAATCACCTAGAAAAGTTAGATGTCTGCCAGTCACCAGGGCCTGATGAAATACATCCTAGAATACTTAAGGAGCAGAGAGAGGAGATGTCTGAGCCTTTAGCTATCATCTTTGGAAAATCATGGAAGACAGGAGAGATTTCAGAGGACTGGAAAAGGGCAAATAAAGTGCCCATCTATAAAAAAGGGAAGTAAGAACAACTCAGGAAACTACAGACTAGTCAGTTTAACTTCTGTGCCAGGAAAGATAATGGAGCAAGTAATTAAGGAAATCATCTGCAAACACTTGGAAGATAATAAGGTGATAGGGAACAGCCAGCATGGATTTGTAAAGAATAAATCATGTCAAACCAATCTGATAGCTTTCTTTGATAGGATAACAAGTCTTGTGGATAAGGGAGAAGCGGTAGACATGGTATACCTAGACCTTACTAAGGCATTTGATATGGTCTCACATGATATTCTTATCAATAAACAAGGCAAATAAAACTTAGATGGGGCTACTATAAAGGTGGGCACATAACTGGCTGGATAACCGATCTCAGAGAGTAGTTATTAACAGTTTACAATCCTGCTGGAAAGATATCACAAGTGGGGTTCTGCAGGGGTCTGTTTTGGGACCAGTTCTGTTCAATATTGTCATGAACTATGTAGATATCAGCATAGAGAGTACACTTATTAAGTTTGCAGATGATACAAAGCTGGGAGGGGTAGTAACTGCTTTGGAGGGTAGGATCATAATTCAAAAAGATCTGGACAAATTGGAGAAATGGTCTCAGGTAAACAGGATGAAGTACAAATGGAAAGTACTCCATTTAGGAAGTTCCTCCCCATTCCCAGTCTCCACGGGCCGGATGAGAGGGCCTCGCGGGCCGCATCCGGCCCGTGGGCCGTAGTTTGGAGACCCCTGGTTTAGAGGATAAAATAAAAAAAGAACAAGTTAAAAATCACCTAGAAAAGTTATATGTCTTCAAGTCACCAGGGCCTGATGAAATGCATCCTAGAATACTCAAGGAGCTGATAGAAGAGGTATCTGAGACTTTAGCTATCATCTTTGGAAAATCATGGAAGACAGGAGAGATTCCAGAAGACTAGAAAAGGGCAAACATAGTGTCCATCTATAAAAAGAAAATAAGAACAACCCAGGAAACTACAGACTAGTCAGTTTAACTTCAGTGCCAGGAAAGATAATGGAGCAAGTAATTAAGGAAATCATCTGCAAATACCTGGAAGATAATAAGGTGATAGGGAACAGCCAGCATGGATTTGTAAAGAACAAATCATGTCAAACCAATCTGATAGCTTTCTTTGACAGGATAACGAGTCTAGTGGATAAAGGAGAAGTGGTGGATTTGGCATACCTAGACTTTGGTAAGGCATTAGATACGGTCTCGCATGATATTCTTATCAATAAACTGGGCAAATACAACTTAGATGGGGTTACTATAAGGTGGGTGCATAACTGGCTGGATAACCACTCTCAGAGAGTAGTTATTAACAGTTCACAATCCTGCTGGAAAGGTATAACAAGCGGGGTTCCATGGGGGTCTGTTTTGGGACCGGTTCTAGTTCAATATCTTCATCAACTATTTAGATATTGGCATAAAGAGTACACTTATTAAGTTTGCAGATGATACCAAGCTGGGAGGGGTTGCAAATGCTTTGGAAGATAAGATCATAATTCAAAATGATCTGGACAAATTGGAGAAATAGTCTGAGGTAAACAGGAAGAAGTTTAATAAGGACAAATGCAAAGTACTCACTTTGGAAGGAACAATCAGTTTCACACATACAGAATGGGAAGCGACTATCTAGGAAGGAGTATGGCAGAAAGAGATCTAGGGGTCACAGTGGGGTCACAAGCTAAATATGAGTCAACAGTGTGACGCCATTTCAAAAAAAGCAAACACGATTCTAGGATGCATTAACAGTTGTGTTGTGAGCAAGACACGAGAAGTCATTCTTCCGCTCTACTCTGCGCTGATTAGGCCTCAGCTGGAATATTGTGTCCAGTTCTGAGCACCACATTTGATTAAAGAATGATTAAAGGCCTAGAGAACATGACCTATGAAGGAAAACTGAAAGAATTGGGCTTATTAAGTTTGGAAAAGAGAAGATTGAGCGGGGACATGATAGTGATTTTCAGGTATCTAAAAGGGTGTCACAAGGAGGAGGGAGAAAAATTGTTCTCCTTGGCCTCTGAGGATAGGACAAAAAGCAATGGGCTCAAACTGCAGCAAGGGAGGTTTAGGTTGGACATTAGGAAAAACTTCCTAACTGTCAGGGTGGTTAAACACTGGTTAAGTTGCCCAGGGAGGTTGTGGAATCTCCATCTCTGGAGATATATTTTAGAGCAAGTTAGATAAATGTCTCTCAGGGATGGTCTAGACAGTACTGGGTCCTGACATGAGGGCAGGGGATTGGATTTGATGACCTCTTGAGGTCCCTTCTAGTCCTAGTATTCTATGATTCTGTGATTTATATAGCTGATGATGAACTTTTAATATCTCTCTCATGCATGTTATTATCATCTAGTTCAATTTCTTCCTCCTTCTCCCCCTGTCCCTGTGGTGGCACCTACATTTAAGCTTTTCCTCTATCTCAGATGCGTCTGACATTCACACCTTCCTGCAGTCCTGATCTTGCTTAGGTTCAAGTGATTTCTACTGTCAATTTTGCATGCATCTGTGAGCAGAAATGTTTAAATGTCCTACCTGTGAAAAGCTGTTTCACTGAATATGTTTTCCTTAGTCAAACTTTCTGTTCCTGACAGCTGGATTATTTCCTTGACAACTTCAAACTTTCCATTGTAACAAGCACTGAAGAAAAAGTCAGCAGAGTATTATTGATAATGCTATGAATTACACAGTTGCAATGCAAAGCAAAGCTTCTCTGCATTACTCACAGGTGCAAAGGTGTATCTCCATAAATATTGGCCACATGGGGCTGAACTTCAAAATTGCTTTGGAGTAGAAACTTCACAATTTCATGATGTCCAAATCGAGAGCAGAAGTGTAGAGGAACATGGTCTTCATTGTCCTGAGCATTCACTGTTATTTGAATGAGACAGAGGAAAGAAAATATTTATATTCACTGTCATTTTTAGAGAGAGAGAGAGAGAGAGAGAGAATTTTCATGTGTTCACTATGAAATCCCAAAACAGTTAATTGATTAAATATTTATGGGCCTGCTCCTGCTTCATTGAAGTTAATGAGACCTTTTCCATTGACTTCATCTGATGCAGGATCAGACCATGTTATCTGACACTGTTCATAATGCATTGTCAAGGTCGCTATTTTGTAATTATTCAGAATGTAATTAGTTATTGCAACAGAAGATTTACTGAATGTTTCAATAAGTTTTCAGTGAAGAAATGAGGAAGGTATTAGTGAATTAGTAATCCTGGATTGCTGCCAGCGTATTAACAATGTGAAACAAAACTATGATCCAAAGGCACTAAGCATAAGTAAACAACCAGCTGAGTTATTTGTATGAGTGGAACAAAATTCATTCACTAAAATAAATCAGGAAGAAAATCTTTCATGGCTGGTCCCTGGAGTGGTTTCCTTAAGTATCAGCCTTAGAAAACCATGGAGCCAGGAGCAATTACAGAGTGACAGGAAAACATCAAAATGGAAGTACAGGAGGCACATGTAAGAATATGATGTTTCATGCAAATTAATAAAATAATTTATAAAAAACAAACTAAGAAAAAAGGGTATTGCTCTTTTCTGGATTTCCCAAGTTTTCCCTTTTCCTCTATGGCTCTGTTTCAGGCAGTCTTTGAGTCATAGAGTTAAGGCTAGAAAGGACAACCAGAGCACTTAGTCTGACCCCTCATCTCATACAAGCTGCTTTGGCATGCTAAACCCAAATCAGACCAAAGCCCACAGGAGACTAGACAATTATGACCTGCAAGCAGACAACAGGAGGGATGGAGTTTTACTAGTGCCCTTCACCTCCATAATGGCAGGGAAATGATCACATGAAATGTGCTTCATATAATCCTGACAAGTGACCTGTCCCCAGGCACTGAAGAGGAAGCTGAAAACCACCTAAGGACACTGCTAATCTAATCTAGGAGAAAATTCCTTCCCAGCCCCACCTCTAGTGATCAGTTAGGTCCTGAGCACATGGGAAAGAACCAACCAACCCAGCACTTGTGAGAGAGGCCTCTTGATGCACTTCAGAGCCCTGAGCTTTCCATCGCCAATATTCCATCTCTAGTCATCGTCATTCCTGATGCTTCAGAGTAAAGAGATTTTTTTAAAGGTACGCACATTTAACTTTATACCCAGGAATGGGGCAAGATATGGACCTACTGGTTTGAGTGACGTTAATCAGGTATGTAAATGTTTGCAGGATCGGGATAAGCAAATCTGAGGCAGGGACAGTCTATCTCTTGTATATTACAGTAAACTTCCGATAATCCGGCACCTTTAGGACCCAGGGGGTGCCGGATTATCAGATATGCCGGACTATCAGAAGGGGGGGCTATGAGGGAGGTGGGGAGGGGGGAAGCTACCCCAGACCCCCTCATAGCCCTCCCTTCTGATAGTCCGGCTCTGCCCCAGGAGTCCCCGATTCAGCCGCCGCTGGGCAGTTTCAGCAGCG